TATAATTATTATATGATTAATATATATTCAAAGTATATTTATTATATACTATTTTAGATCATATAATAATAATATTGTTGATATACTGTATAATAAATATATTGTAAACATATTTAGCAAAAAACATAGGTTTCTGTAAAGTATTTTAGAAAGTCTAAGATCAGTAATATATACATATTGCAGATTTTCTTCTTGCGAAATGTTTCCGTTGTGTAAATCTCTGTGAACGAGTTTCTGTGAATGAATTGACTCGAGATCCAAAACTATACCGTATAAAATATTCTATTTGTCTTTCCATCCCAATAATGTTACTTCTAAAGATTTTGTCGTAACGAACCTTTTGGCGCAATCTCCATAACAATAATATAATCACCAGAATTATTTCTTGATACTCCAAAACAATTCAAGAATGAAGGACTCGCGTAACCAGTTGCACAGTGATCCTTCAATTCCTGGATAAATTCTTGCTCATTTTCGATTGAATCACGAAATTACCTTAAGTGCAACAGTATTCTGTTCATTATTAATTCTATCGAACTAACGTGCAAAATATACAGTCGCGAATACACCTTATCCTTTTCCCGAATAATTTTGAACTCATTATTATCAATCCAAGATAATTTAAATTCTCATCATCTAATATTCTCCAAAGTTCAGGATTGATATTATCTGGGAATTTATTATTTTTCAAAAAACTTGAAATTTTCTAAACAAATAATTTGCCTTCTGAATATCTCTTTTTGTACCGGTACCGTTTCGATAAAGTCAAGCCATATTATACATTGCATATTTATTATCCATATTAGCAGATTTTTCATAGTATTCAAATGCTTTATCATAATTTTTGTCAATCCCAATTCTATATTGATAATAAAAACCAATATTAGACATTGCCCTAGCATTATACAAATCAGCGGAACTCTTACAATATTCGAATGATTTCTGGTAATTTATTTTTACTACATTTTCCATAATAATAACAAAGACTAACATCATTTATCGCAACCGAATTTCCTAACTCTGCTGTTTTCATATAATATTCAAAGGCCTTCTTTTCGTCTTTCTTAACACCAATACCATGTAGATAGTTGTAACTAAGTGTACGAAGTTATTTGGAGTCTATTTTTTCAAAGAAAAATTCTTGCACTAAATAAAATACAAACTTCGATTGTTTAGAGCGTAGCGGAGGACATTTTATATTTAATCAAAGTGATTCAAAGTGATACAAAAGTTACATCGATAGTTACTTTTTGATTAGTTCATTGGTTTCTTATATAGCAATATCAAAAACGTAATAATGAAAATTTACATGTCTGCCTGCATGCATGTTTGTATTTTAATGTAGCAAATAAAAATTTTATAATAAAGTCGCGTTAATCAAAATGTTTGATAATATTGCTTGAGAAAATTTAATGATTCATATAGACGAAAATCTTTCATGGAAATTTTGTGATTATTGGTGATGTCAGCATAGAATCATAATGAATATGTTACAACTACACAAATTTTAAATTAAAATCGTAATAAAAATTAAATGGTTTATAACAATTCAACTTTACATTTTAATTCCGGTAATTGCGCAATAACACAAAAGTGATCGAATTAAAATTTTATGAAATGTTATCATTTAATTTTTAATAATCACCAAATCAAAAATTCCACCCATATGCTGAAAATAAAACATCCCATTGTTGAACCACAATTCCATCTATCCGACAGGTAAGGTCACACCCTATGGTTAGAACTATTCATCTTATATTGCCACACATATTTACTCAAAAATATATATACAAAATAAGCAACTATTTACTATTTTTTCGCACGCAAATTCAAAATATCTATAACATTTCGAAAGATCGAATAAAATTAATTAAAAAAATATGTGGCAACTAATTTACGCAAGTTGGCCTAACTAGTCGATTAAAAAATTTTTACCGAGTTGGTTCAATAGTTCCGATTCTGAATCTGAATCATTTTTAAGCGATAATTCTGACCCAAATTCTTTTAGTTGCCTATAAAAACCTGAATTTGGTCTACGATAAATGGGACAAGTTAAATCTAGTAATCATACCATATATAAATGTCTCAAATGAAAAACTTGTTAATTACTAACCGAACAAAGGATTTTCTTTCTTTAACAAAGATTACCGCTTCCTTTAATGATTTCTTCTGAGATCTCATAATATAAGCAATAACAACTTTTTTTCGAGAAAAAAATGTGAAAACAAAGTTGGAAATATTAAAATTTACTTAGTTAATCTATCACTTAAGTGCATACCAGTTGGACTACGTGAAATTCCCATTTCGCTATTAGATAAAACATATGTTACTACAAATAATTTTAGCAAAATATAATAGTAAAGTTAAATATACCAATGAACGAGAATTCTTCTATCTTCTTGATCTAAAACATTCTGAATAAACATAAAAGTTTCTTCGAAATATTTTGATATGTCTTGTGATTCGCTATCTCTTATTGGGATCACTTTATACACGAATGACTATTTTAAAACAAACGTTTGAACTATTAATACTTTTGACAAAGTTAAAAAACGAAAAATAACATTTGGTAAAGTACTTTAGGAAAACGTGGCTTAATATCTTGGGCAACGGTAAGAATATCTGTAATTTTATTATACTTTAACCAATCTTCATCTAAAGCTGCTCGCTTACTGTACTCAATAAAGAAATCACGATATCAACTTTAAGCTCATCTTTAACATAAAAAGAAATTATTTACAACCTTCCCAAATACAGCCTAGGAATAATTTCTATGGCAAAATCATCATTTATTTGTTTAATTTGCGATTCGTTTAAATTTTCATTTGTCAAATATTTAAATGATAGACGCATGACATATTCATCATCATCATTTTCTTCTTCTAATTCTCTTTATGATAATGAAAATAATCAATGAATAATAGAATCATAACGCAAAATATGAGGGCTATCTATGAAATGTCGGTCCGGGAATTTTTAAAATGATTAATTTTTATTATAACATCAATTATTACAACTGTTTTCAAAAAGGTGTGAACGGTCGCAGATCACCGTGCGATTCAAAATATTTCCCAGAGTTTCATGACTCGCTCGATTTCCCACATTGGTATATGGAAATCGTTGTTCACCCATTTTTGAAAATGGCTTTAATATAATTGAAAATTAATTCTCAAATTCCCAGACTGTCATTTTCCTAGACCAGTCCTCATATGAACTTATATGTTAAAATATTTACGCACCTATTATTTAAGTTGTCTGATGACATTTTTTATGAATAGAATTTACTACTAAAGAAATAATTTATAAAAATCGCATCTATCGGACGGAATGGAAGTTAAATGGTACAAAAAAATTGTCGTACAATATGCGCAGAGCACTTTTGTTAGAAAAGCTATTTTTGGATTACTTTGTCCTTTGTGTTGCATGTACAGTACGTAGATAAATACATGTTTTTATTCTATAAAATATGTGGGCTGGTAATCATACCCCCACATTTGGTATTCATACCCCCCAGAAAAACAAAAAAAAAATTAAAATCTAAGCAAAGATATATCGACGCCCACCTGATCAAACTCAATAAATTTTTTTTTATTTAAATTCTACAGATTCGTAAAATTCAAATGAAAAAAAATTTGTCGAATTTGGTCATGTGGTCGTCGAGATATCTTTGCTCAAAGTCAAAGAAAAATCAAAACGTCTA